AAAACCTGTCGACTATGCATGAGCTCAGAAAATGTGATGAAGGAACGCCCAGAATTCAGGTGCTTCAAATGTGACGAAAGGGGACATTTCGCAAGGACCTGTACAGCGGTGTGGGGCCCGGATTGTAAATTGGCCCTAATACCTGCAGGGAGCTTGTCACGCTGAGTTGGCTTTGTCCACTCGATTGACCAACGCGTACGCCTTGTTTTATCCTTGCAGGCCTAACTTCGCTGATGAAAGCACTTGTGGGGTTTCTGTAGTGTAGTGGTAATCGCGTTCGCCTAACACGCGAAAGGTCCTCGGTTCAAAACCAAGCAGAAACAGTGCTCTTCTTTTGGCGAGAAAATAATAGCATCCACTGCCGCACCAGCAATGATCGTCGACAGGCACCCAATCAAAAAGGGTTATCTGCCTGATTTGCTTGAAGGTTTCCGTAGTGTAGTGGTTATCACGTTCGCCTCACACGCGAAAGGTCCCCAGTTCGAAACTGGGTGGAAACAACCTCTGGCTTTTATGACAATTGTCAAATCAGGCTTCTGTTGAGTACTGACGTTCACTGAAAACATTCTTTCTGCAGAGCGGTGTGAGGCTAGAAGTTTGAATTCAACCCAGTGTTTACCTCCCCTCGCGGTGTCGCAAACTTGCGTAGAATCTGATTTCTTTTAGCTTTGTGTCGTGCATGAGCAGGTGGCCAGTGCGTTTGCGGGCCCTTCACGGTGCAGACCCTACAAGACAGCTCTATAAAAAAAAAGACTATAAATACTTGAAGCAGCACTGGCCTATTGGTTTCCGTAGTGTAGTGTTTATCATGTTTGCATTACACGCTAAAGGTCTCCTGTTCGAAACTGGTCGGAAGCATACAATTAGCGGACCCCTTTGTCCAAAGCGACATACAATAGTGGAGGTATTCAACAAGACGAGGCAATGCATACGAAAAAGGGCTTTTTATTCCAAGTAATTTGTTTGTGCTCAGAGAATTTAGTGCTGGAGTAGGAGTTTCGTTTTCTTTAGAGAGAGGGATATTCACCGGGGTTCGGGTGTACTCTGAAGAGATGGGTGTTAGCTGTCGTTTGAAGGGCACCAGTGTATCCGTAATCCGAGTGGGAATGGGAAGGTGATTCCACCAGCGTAGAACATTGAATGAAAACATTGTGGAAAGTGACTTTACGTCTCTCTTTACGCTGGCACCACAAGACAGTGCTCTCACCCTAACCGGAGGCTCCTGTGGTTTTCACGATGGCTTTACAAGCGGAGGGTCTCCTGTTAGAGACTGGGCGGAAACATTCAGATTTGCTTTTACGCACATTCTCAATTGGCTCTCTGCTCACTGGATGATCCACGATACAAGGGCATGGATCTGTCAAATGTCATGACTTGACGTTGTACGAGGATTTGACGAAAAAATGCCCTGCAAACCTTAAAAAGCAACGCCATCCCAGGACAATTCTCTTGGTCCCCTTTCAGGGCACTTGCATTAAAGCCCGCGTGATGCGGCACTTTGTCAATGTTACTGTATCATTCGGACATGGGGGCAGAGAGTTAAAGACTTCAGCCTGAGCGCACTGCCGCAGGCTCGGTTTGTCAGAAGTGGGATTCAAACCCACGCCTCCAGGGGAGACTGCGACCTGAACGCCAGCTGCCGAAGGATAGTCCGACAATATTTCACAAATGTTGAAGATGAGAGCCAATCGGAGCGATTCGCTCCAACATTGTAGCCAATCACGTTGCAGCGCTTCAACATTTGCAGCCAACCGCGGACCGGAATTCTCAACATTTTCAACATTTGACCAATCAGAGTCGAGACAATGTTGAAGCCGGGGGGGGAGGAACCGTTCCAAGAATCACCGCTAGGTGTGCAGTCAAACAGGTTAGTCAGATGTCAATCAATTTTCCGAACTGAGCCGAAGGTACACGAAGGAATGACGCGGTACTCTGGAGGCGGGTCAGAGGTCAAAAAAGTTCATTGACCATCAGTGATATTTAACGAACAGCATCATTCGACAGAGCACAGCATCGTTTTGCTTACAGTAAAGGATTTTTTCCGATAGTGATTTCTTAAAAAAGGTAGGAAAAACTACACAATTGCACGAATTAATGTTTTAGTGTGTTGTATTTCAAATTTGGATACTTTAATTCAAAACCGTTTAATTTATAGGAGAAAAATGTCTGGAAAATCTCATAAAGCCATGTCAGACGCTGACTAGATTTCACGTTTGAAAAAGTTTGCCAGCACAGGAGTTTGGCCATCAAATGAGGGAAACAGGCCAGCTCCTCGACAAAAAAGTGGCATGAGATTTATCAAAGGGTGTGTATTTCGTTTACCTGATATAACGTTTGTTGAAATTTGCTTAACAGAGTAACGTTAACTTGTTAGTACAGTACCTGTGTAAAACATGTCATACTTGTTTTCAAATATTAAAGTGTTTTAAATTGCATGTATTTTGAGATTTACGTCGAATAATTTAGTAAGTTTGACCGTTTATGAGAGAGATCTGAAAAGGTGGGGGAAGGGATTATGAGTACAGTATACAGCATGTGGTTTTAAGGCCTGAAATGTTCCTGTCCAGTTCCTTTTATTCTTCTTTTCGTTTTTGGAGGTACAAACTGTACGATTACATATTAGACAAATATTAAACACATTCTAGAAACAGTGGTAAATTAATTTACAGAGCTATTGTGTGCTTTATTAAGGGAGTCATTGAGTAAAAATTCTTATTTAGTTATAAAAGTTTTTTGTATTGTATAAAATTATTTAATATATCTTTCATGATTTTTTCAGATTGAGAAATGCCCATTGCAATCTCGTGGGCAGAGGACTTTGCTTGGAGGTGTGCTGAAATGCACATGTGGTTTTCACACTCAAAAGGTACATTTTTGAATCAATACGTGTTTATTTTTATTTACTAGAATGCCTTTCCTTTTTCATGATTATATGTATTTTTGTGATTTATTTTCAGCAGAGTACTGCTTCTGCTGCTCCAGCACAAACGGTGCAACAACCTGCCCCTACTGTACCTGCTCAGGAGGTGATGGAGACGAGACAACTTGAGGCCCAGCCCCAGCCCCCGTCTACTCCATCAGTGGCATCAAAGATTTCACCGCAATTGTCAATGGTACATTTTTTAAAAAATCAAAAGAAATGACAATTTCAGTGTTTCAAGTGTTCAAGGTGTTCAAAGTTCAGTTCAAAGTTCAAACATAGGAGAGAAAAAGAACAAAAAGCAATAAAAAAGTTGAGGTGTTGCTAGAGACCTGCTTCTTTTCACACCTCTTGCACAGTGGGGGGTAGCAGACACTTGCTGATTGGTCGGTTTGAGTTTCTGTTATTGGATTAAATTACATGGTCAGGTCATGGTCAGGGTCACAGTTTTTAAAGCTACATTTTAACCTCTTGTCTTCAGATAATGATACATAATAAACACTAATAGTAAATACTTTGTTTTGATTTTAAGTGTAAGCTAAAATTTGTACTTTTTCTAAACAACGAGTCTGAGGTATTATCTTGAAAAAGTACTTATTTAAAAATATATATATATATTTTTTTTTTGCTACCACAGGTATGATAATATTTTTTCTTCTGGGAGAAAGTCTTATTTGTTTTATTTCGAATACATTTTTCAAGGTCAATATTATGAGCCTCTTTAAGCTTTTTTTTTTTTTTTTTTTTTTGGCATAGTCTACAAAACAAACCATCGTTATACAATAACTTGCCTAATTACCCTAACCTGCCTATTTAACCTAATTTACCTAGTTAAACCTTCAAATGTCACTTTAAGTGGTATAAAAGTGTCTTGAAGAATATCTAGTCAAATATTATTTACTGTCATCAGGGCAAAGATAAAATAAAACAGTTCTTAGGAATGAGTTATTAAAACTTTGATATTTAAAAAAATGTGCTGAACAAATCTTCTCTCCATTAAACAGAAATTGGTGGAAAAAAATTAAAAAGCGGGCTAATAAATCAGACTTCAACTGTATATAACACATAGTGTGATGTTGTAATATACAATGTATGTTTTTGTTGAAATGCATGATGTAATAATAGTACAATAATACTGTATATAACATAATGCAATACTTTATTCCTTTGGTAGTAAAAAAAAATATTTGTTTGCATATTGCTCCTTGATCCAGAAAACTATAATTTTAATCAAAGCCTAATGTGTCACATTTATTTGCAATGAACCAGTTGTCTAATTAAATCTATTCTAACTTATATCTTATTTCTACCTGTAAAAGTAGCAGAGGGTGGTAGAAAAAAACAGCTTGAACTCGAAACACTGTAGAGAAAACAAACTGATTGTATAACTGACATATAGAAAGATAGTTTCTAATTGCTTGAAATTTAATGTGATATACACTAATGTTCAAAAAATTATTATTGTTAAAATATAAAAGCTTAATATTACTCATATTTTGCAAGAATTCTATTGTGTTTGATTTGCTCATAAATTAAGTAGATTTTATTTGATTTGAATTGTTTGAATAAATTATTCTTTATTTAATTTGCCTATATTATTATTTCACATTATTCCAGTTTTTACTAAATATTTGATCAAATAAATGTAGCCTTGATAAACATAATTAAAACATAAAAAAAATACATTGAGCAGATCGCAAACCTTTGAACAGTAGTGTACATTTTGCCATTGTGAACACAGTGTTTTTAATGAAATGCTTTTTGTCTTGCCCTTTTTGAGTTCACCAAACCAAGATTTTCCGGATCCCACATTGCTGCAGCAAAGCCAAATCTTAGTGTGGCTAGAAGACCACCACAGGTTGACGTCCAGCCCAGTTCAGCAGTGTGAAGTGCTTCTACACCAAGCACGGCTGTAAGTATTGTCATAATCCACATAGCTTTCTGAGAGAATTTGGTATAAGCATTTGTTTTACGTAAATTCGTATTTTTATTAAGTACAGTCACATTAAATCTCAATAAAACATCTCTGTAGTATTCTTTTAGTGCATAAAAACATATATATTAAAAATAAGCACCATTCTTTAAACTTTTTATTCTGCATAGAAGCGCTGTGACAAAATTTTACAGTTTAGCAGCAATCATTCATTCCCAATGTATTTTATACATTAATGTTCAAATAAAGTAATGGTTGCAAAAAATTCTGATTAGTTAATGTTACTTATAGATATATATTTACAAAATGCACTTTGTTATACTGCTTGTTTGTACAGACACAGGACCTTCAAGTTTCTGCCCCCGTCCTCACATCCACTACGGCAGTGACCAGTTCCACAGAGCCGTCCAGCATTGTCTCAGTAAGTAATTTCATATTTTCTGTCCAAAAAAAGGTAATTTGCTTTGCATATTTGCTGCCCCAGCTGAATTCACACAAAGTGGTTTTAAGACCAGCCAATTAAATTGACTTGATGTTAATTAACTAAGCTTGATATATGTATAAATGTTAACAAAATAAAGAGAGGAAAAAATAAAGCAAAGAATCACAAAAATGACGCCTTCTGCTGTTGATATTTTATGTTCACAGTAGTAAAAGAAAAGAAAATGTGGATGGAAAAGAAGTAGAAAGGAAAAAGAGAAATAACTATATTGGAAAATACGTTTGCTTCTTTAAAGAAAATGTTTAGTGGTGAAATTCTATTAATGATTTTTGGAATTGAAATACATAAGGTATTTAAAAACAATCACTTAAAATCAAAGGTATTTAGATTATAATCATGATAACATCATGTGAGGGTACTCACTCAAATATGTAAGGTGCATTTACATTACCAGACTAAAGGTTTTATCTATTTTCCTTCACAGACTGCACCTTCTGGGTCATTGTTGCAAGCTCCATCAGCTGTTCCACTCCCGCGCCTTTGGGCTGAAACCTTGCCACCAGAGGACCACAAGTGGATTGCCAGCAGGCTTTTTAAAATGGGGTCCAAAGGAAAGCCAGAGCTTCGAGACAACCTCCAGCTCTGGTATTACCCTCCACAGCCTGCACTTACATACAATCAGGCTCCAGCTCCAGACAGATTTTTCTGTCATTCACTTTTGCTGTGGATGCCATACAAGCTGTGGAGGGTCAAAGTCCTTTGCCCTAATCCTGCATGTGGACAGCATCAGCTGACAGGTGGAGGTCTGCACAAAAGGGCACGGCAGGTTCTGGACATCGACAGGATGTACAACATGGTTACAGAAACCCTCATCTGTACCAAGTGCAAAGCCTCGCATGTGTCCTGGAGTCAGACTGTCTTGCAGCAGCTGGATCTTGGCCATCGCTCAGAGTTTCGGGTCATTCTCACACAGAAGTGAGTAATTGAACACCTTTATTCCTCGTGCAGTTGTTAACCTATCATCACAGATATATGAAAATACTTTACAAATATATATATATATATATATATATATATATATATATATATATATGTTTATATTAATATTCTTCTGTTCCTAAGGTACGCCTGTGATATAAGAGTCATTCGCCTACTGCGTGAGCGTGGACTAGGCAACAGCCCCACAAGGGTCATCAAACAACTGAAGGAAAACCACAGTGAAGAGTGGCTCCAGCGTCTAGCCCGCTACACTACTCAGTGTGTGGATTTCCTCAGTGGACCTGGGGTGTTGTCGATCACCTTCCAGGAGCCCCCAGCACCTACAGTTGTGCCAAGCTGCAAGTGGCTCCTCACTGTCTACAGCCAGGACATCTTGACAAGGTTGAATGAAATCCATGCCAGGATAACATCGACCCATGGGTCCATCTTGAAGATGGATTCAACTAAAAAGGTTAGTGGATATTCATCAATTTATAATTTCTTTATTATATTCCAGCATTGGTAAAAACCCTTTGTGTAGTCTGCTTGATCTGACGATACACCATGGTTCTTCTCTTTTCTAATCTAGATCACAAAAAAGCTGGCCGGGACAGCAAAAGGAACAGGACTCTGGCTCACCTCTGTTGGCAATGAGTTTGGTCAGGTGCTGATAAGTGTGCTCACTGCCCAGGAAGGAGCAGGACTGGACAGGATGGTGGATGGGCTGGTCAGAAGATACCAGGAGTCTGGTGTGGATCCACCTGCTGTTTTGTATGTGGACTGTGGGTGCTGCACTGATGTGGGTGAGACCAAACTCAAAGCCAGGTTTAGAGGATGGCCGGAGTTGACTGTGAAATTGGACATCTGGCACTTTATGCGCAGGATTGCTGTGGGATGTACAACTGATGCTCATCAACTGTATCCCATCTTCATGTCACGGATCTCTGCGTGCATTTTTGAATGGGATGCGGCTGATGTTTCTTTGCTACGCCAAGCAAAGCGAGCACTGTTGATGTCCCAAGGTTGGCCTGCGTTGACAGATGCTGATGTCAACAAGCATCTCACCAGGGAGGAGCTGGCTCTCCATTGCCGAAGGAGGACCCGTGGGGAGGAGACTACCATCCTTCTACTTGAACAGCTTCTTACTGAGCTCATGAGCAACAAGGGCAATGACTCGCTGGGCGTTCCTCTTTTAGACAAGGAAAGGATGGGGCACATCTGGAGTGTCCAAAAAAAGCATATAAAATGCATTCAGGACCCCCCTGGTGTCGTGCTCTATACTGAAACGGGGAGCATAACCAAGGGAGGTGTTCTGCTACGGACCTACAGATGTGCCAGGGGCTCCACGTCTCTCGAGTCCTTTCATTTACACCTCAATCGTTTCATCCCAGGTATGATTCTGCACAAACATTGTGTAAAAACGCATTAAATGTCTTTGTGTGTTTGTTTTTTAATTAAGTCCTAAACATTGTTTTTAATATTTACAGGGTACAGCGCAAATAGTCTGAACTTTCAGATTTATTTGCTGGAGGGACTAAACAGGTGGAACCAGGACCGGGAGGCTGCTTCCTTGGCATCTGAACCATCAGCTTTACGCAGCTACACAGGAGAACTTGTTCACTGTGTAAACTGCAACTTTGAAAAGCTGTTTGGGAGAAAAGTGGTGCCCAACTTTTGTCCGCCTGCACGTTACACTGGTAAGAGATTTTGCTATTGTTATTAAACCTGCAATTTCTGTGTTCTCTCCATCTACTGTATCCAGTTTGATACAGTAGGTCAATGTTCCTGAGCTTTGTGCTGTGAAATCTTTGCTTGTCTTTAAATATTTGTAAGAACAAATGTATTGTTTCATGACTATTTACTGAAGTAAAGCAAGATACAAAGTTATCATTACATTATTATTACATGTCATTATCAAACATAATGCTACAAGCTTTGAGGGAAATTTATTTGTACATTTCTCTGTCTTCGTTGTATTTCCATTGCATTTCATTAGATGTTTTGTCCAGAATATTTATTATGTTTTGGATCTCTGATTAAAATGTATGTTTTTGTTTGTTTCTTCCTTGACGTTGAGCTTTTAAAACTACTTGCTACTTCAACACCCAATCAAACATGGCTCTTAAAATTTGTTTATTTATGTTTCATTTATTTTTTTCATGTGAGCTCATTGGAGTGCAGTATCTGTTCCAGCAGACTGGTCAGGCACTGCAGAACATGAACCCAGACTGTGAGCAGACTGCTGAGCTCATTGAGGATCTCAATGTGGATGAGCGAGAAGAAGATGAGGGCTTCTGTGACATCAGTGAGGATCACACTATTGTTGATCCGGAGGCTGCTCTGTCACCATCCTCCTCCACATTGAGATCGGGTTCCTCCACTGCAGTCACCAGCAGTGTCGCTTCTTTGCCAGTCTCCTCATGCCCTGCATTGGATCCTGACCCACCTGCGCAGCCTGAAGAACCAATTTCACCTGTGCCCTTAGAGCCAGAAGAGGCTACGGAAGATGATGACGAAGACAATGATGATGACGACGATGATGATGGTGATGAAGTGACTGTAAGTCCCACTAATTTCTGTCTTTACAGTGATCTAGAATAATTTTAAAATAAAGTGTAAAGTCAAACACGCATCAGGTTTATTTCCGTAGTGCAGCTTCAACATGATAACAGAAACAATTATGGAATTATGCATTGAAAAATTTAATATGCTATTTTATTTTGTTGTGCTTTCATTAGGCTGTTGACTACCAAAATATTCCGGGCTTCCAGCATGTGGACAGGCTGGCTGAATATCTGGTTGAGCTTCGGACCCACAAAAGCCTCAGCCTCACCAACCAGGAGGCCAACGAGATCATTGGTCTTTGGCAAAGCCTGCATGACCAAGACAAGAAGCGGGTGGTGTATGCAGCTCGACACCAGAAGCGACTGCTGAGTGGGCGATTTAAAACACCCAAGAAGCCCACTCACACCCCTGGCGTGGAGAGCACTACCAGATGTGTGCTGGGTGCAAGCAGTGCTCCTGCTCAGTGGCCTGACTGTTGCCGTCTTGTGGAGACCATCTTTATTAGGCTTTGTACCATCCACCCTAGTCCCAAGCGAAAAGGCAAGGGAACCCTTTCAAGATGGTCTCTGATCCTGCAAGACTACCACAGGATTAGGCAACTTGTACTGGGCAACAGCTTGGTAATGGGAGGTACATCCATGCAGCTGGTTGAGGTAAACCAGAATACCCCGATTCAGTGGTTTAATAACAGACAGAAGAAACAGGAGCTGTCTGTTGAGGCAACTGAATACCCTGAAGCCGCACACCTCCCAGAAGCCCAGGAACCTCTCCCAGTTGCCAAAAGTCTTCGGACAGAGCCACACAGCAAATTCATTGGTGTTAAATTTCAAGTGTTGTGGTAATTCAGAGTAAAGTGTTAAAATTCTAGAGTTAGATAAAGGTAAAATAACCCACTCAGCGTTAGAAGCTGATTTGCCTCCTTGTCACACAGAGAAACATGTATCTACCTTTGTAGAAAACCCTTGTATTTGAGAAACTAATCAGAGTGTCTGATCTCGCCCTACACCCTCATTCACCTGGCCCTTAAATTGGTCAATTAGTTTAGTCCACTAGACAGAGGGAATGACCACAAATAAGTAAATTCAGACACCTGCTGTTGAACACCTGCTGTAAACAAGCACAATCACTGAAGGAATAAGAAATTGAAGGAAGAAATAAAACTACAGACACAGCCTCACACCAAACCAACTGAATTAAAACAGAGGATTAAACAACTCAATTAAATAATAGTATAAGCAGCTTCACTGATTACAGTTTGACTTCATTTCTGTAAGAATATTTGACAATGAACAGAGGTTTATATTTTTTTTATTAAAAATATTTCATTTGACCTCACCATCATGGAGATCAGAGGCTGCTTAGTTGAGCTCTTGAAGCTTTACGCTTATATACTAATATTTCTCTGACTGTTATAGCCGTGTTTCTAAAACGCATTAGCTATAGCAAGAAAGGTCAAGAGAACCTGTACTGTTTATGCTTAATTGTTATAGATATAATTTCAGGTGTGTAATAGATTGATTCATAAAAATATTAAAAATAATTGTAATAAAACTGCATGGGACAATACTTCTGGCAGTCTGCTGCTCTTCATAGAAGATACATCAAAAAATTAGGATGCAATTAATAATTAGAGTGTCATGCACTAAACATTCGCGCTTCAGCTTGCTCATATGACACACAGACATTAAGAATCAGGATATGAACCTCAACCGTGGTTGCTAAAAAAAAAAAAGCTGCATAGTTCATGCCGCAATGCATGTTGGGTGCCAGCATAGTACAAAGCTCCCAGCATGCATTGCAGCATGAATAAATTATGCAGCTTTATGTTCTTACAATGTCTTTATTTTCCTTTATTTTGTGTTGTTTTTGGGAGGTGATATTTCAGTAGAGTGTTTTTTTTTACTTGATTTTTATTTTTTTTGTTTGTCACCATCATTGAGATTCAAAGACTAATTGTTGATCTCTGTGTGTTTTTAAGTTCTGCCATAGATCAAACATTCTCATTGTAAATATTGTTTTTATTTTATTGGAGTTTCAGTGGTTCCATTTATGTATATTATTTATTTCTCACACATAACTCATATGATATAGAATTAGAAATCAAGCAGAAAAGGATGGCTATGTTATCATAAATAATCTCTTTAGACTGATACTTTAATTTTCTTTAGGCTTTCCATGCTATATGTATTAATACTGTAATTAGCACTAACTATAGCAGCCAAATAAAAGACATTTATAGCAAGAAGTTGAAGAGCCTGACTAAAGCAGACTCTGTCCTCCATCATGGTGACTTCAAATGAACAGAAATTTCATTAAGAGCTTTTGTTCACATAACAGAAATCAAGTCAAAGGTCAGTAATGATTAGTTGTTTAATGTGATGAGTTTTTTTTAAGATGTTGATAAATAACATTTTTTATTGTGTAATTTGTTTTATTTTTATTGATTATTATTTTATTTAGAGTTTTTTTCTCTCAGTTGATTTCATCTTTGGTTTTGGCTTGTGTTTTTCTTTCCTTCACTGATTCTGCTTGTTAACAGTTGTTTATCAACAATTCTCAATCCTCCTTTAATTAGACACTTAATTGTCTCATTAACTTCATCACTGTCTGAGTGTTCAGCCCTCTGTAGTGAGGACACTAGTGAGGATTTTGCTCTGGAATTTAAGGCAACTGCTGCCAGTATTTTGACATACATTTAACAGATATTTTACACAATAAGAGTTTGCTAATTAACACTCTGGGTGTTAAAAATTTTAACACTTTCAAAAATGTTATTTTAACACTTATAGTGGTTCCCACATAAACACTGAGGGAGTGTTAATTTTAACTCTAAGGTTGTTAAATCTACCAAATCTAAAATTTGCAGTGTGAAATCGATAAAAAATACAGACTGTTGAATGTGTTATTTACAGAAATATTCTGTAAACTGAATTTATGAATGTGAAAAACAGCAGATTACTGGCAACCACAGCTGCTGGTATTTTTCCGTAAAATCTAAAAATGAAAAAAAAAAAAGAAAAACAGCTAAACAGTTTTTGTGTCACCATTGTGGAGGATAATAGCATCTCTGTCCAAGTCCAAGATGAGCTGAAAATATTTGATGTTATGCTGTATCTTTTCTTTAAAGGTAACTGTGTAGTTACTAATGCAGTCAAAATCTGTTTGCAATCACACATGAAAACATCATTGCATCTAAAGACTTCACATTTTTTTCTACTAAGCTATGATTTTGTAAACTGAACATTGTATTAATTCATGAAATATGGTTATATTTGTAAGTTCATACAGTTATATAAATCTTCCATGTTTTTCACAGAAAGATTCTGGCAACCACAGCTGCTGGTATTTTTTCGGAAATGTAACAGATATTTTACACAATAAGAGTTTGCTAATTAACACTCTCTTGGTGTTGACAATGTTAACACTTTCAAAAGTGTTATTTTTAACACTTATAGTGGTTCCCATATAAACTATGAGGGAGTGTTAATTTTAACTCTAAGGTAGTTAAATCTACTATCTAAAATTTGCTGTGTAGAAGGGCATTAAATTACTGTTCATTTCTTTGCATTTTAACTTTGTGAACTATAAACTCAAGCGTCTCCTCACGGTTTGTCTCATTTTGTGAGTTAACTGACAACAACAGTTGTTTGCTTACGTTCTCCCCTTATGGCCACGCCCACTCCTGCCCGATGCTCGTGGAGCTCCACGCCCATTAATCATGCATCTTTTGAAAAAAATCTGAAGTAGACTTTAACCAAAAGTGGGGGGTGTCATGGCCCTTTAAAAACAATATAACTTGGAAAACATACTTTCCACAATGTGTTGGTGTGCCATTGATACAAACTGGGGACTTGAAGAGCAAGTGTCATTGTAGAAATGTGTCTAAACAGTTTAATATATTTTAAGTCTAGTATGGAAAAATAATATATAACTGTTGCACTTTAGTTTTGACTGATGACATCTGTTTAGAGATAAAACAGTGATGTAGTCCACAACAATCACATTCCGGCTTAACATTTAACAGCCACAACTGTCTATTATATAGTAGTCCCCTTTTTGTTTGGGGTTACATCAACATAAATAACTTTTCAATTTAATTTAATGATTTAAAAACTCCTAAAGGCTTTACATATTTCATTACTGGATAAATATACACTATCTAACATTAATCTCGTTTTTTTTTTTTTAGGTTGTTGGCTTAAGATGGAATCTGAGGTAATGGGGTAACACTTTTTTCTGTTATTGCTTTCTTGATAACATATACCACATTCAGGGGCTAGTTTCTTTGAGGGGGTAGTAGATTAACCAGGTTCACATAATGAATATGGCTGTGTTCCCTGTCTGTCATTGTTTTAAGATTTAGGTGTATGCAGAGTTCCAACGGAAAACCAGAACCTGCCCAACACATTCTACTCTGAGCTTGACCAACACCTTCCTAGCCTAATGACCCTGTTCAGATAGAAGGCAGCCAGAACCGGGAAGATATCAGATACTTTAAATGAAATCCTAAGAATCCATGATGAACAGGTAAAAATATTGTTGTGCATTTTATAGGCTAAAACTTTATTAAAAGATTAAAAGTTTGAAAAATTTGATGATTCAAATGAACTTTGAACACTACACCACTAAAACATTTTGAACACTTTTTTTGTATTTGTCTGGTTTTGTATATCTGATTATATTGTTTAACATTTACAGTTCAATTATATACAGTTTTCTTTTTATCGTTATAGGAGTTCCATGATGTGCACATCAACTGTGTCACTGTTGTTCATGCTCTGTGTATCTACGTGAGGAAATCACTGGGTTTTTAAGGACCTGCATGGTGAGTATTTAAAAAAAACATTACATTACCACACCAAACAGTTCTTATACATACATGCATATATACATTCATTCATTTTCTTTTTGGCTTAGTCCCTTTATTAATCTGGGGTCACCTCAGCGGAATGCACCGCCAACTTATACAGCATATGTTTTACACAGCGGATACCCTTCCAGCTGCAACCCATCACTGGAAAATATCCATACACACCCATACACTATAGACAATTTAGCCTACCCAATTCACCTGTATCGCATGTCCTTGGACTGTGGGGGAAACTGGAGCACACGGAGGAAACCCACACGAATGCGGGGAGAACATGCAAACTCCACACAGAAACACCAACTGACCCAGGAGAGGCTCGAACCAGCGACCATCTTGCTGTGAGGCCACAGCGCTGCCTACTGCACCATCGCGTCGCCATACATACATGCATACAGTACATTACTCTTATTCTGTCTTTCCAACCAAATAGTTTGTGCAATTTATTTTTTTTGACCTCACTGTAAAATTATTTTAGTACTAAATTGCTTTAAGTAAAACTAAGCGTTTTCTTTTTCCTTTTTTTTTAGCATAGTATAAATTTATTGCAACTTTTGTTTACTGTTTGCTAGGCTGACTTGACCAATCTTCTGTTTTTGTTTTAACATCTAGGCCTAGCAATTCCTCGAGTTTTATGTAATTTGTTTTTGTGAAAATACTGGTTAAAAGGTTTCTGAATTATTTTCTCACAATGTGCATTTATTAATGTTATTTGTCATTAATGCAGCTCTTGTTTTTAAAAGTTGTTAAGTACAGCTGGGTAGTACTTTGTAACCATATAGGTAATTTAGTTTTAAATGGTTCATG